GAACTACGGAACTTCCTCCATCCGGACAGACGCTCCAGCCACTAAACTGAGGAGGAGGTCACATTTGTAATAAATATACTCATAGAAACAAATAAGGGAACACATGAAAATATGAGTGTTCCTTTATTTAATTCCAGAATTTCACCCACAGTGCAATACATACCTAATGACGAAACCAGGAAAAGAATAAAGGAACACTTTTACTTCCATGTGATTCCTTATTTGTTTCCATGAGTATATTTCATTATTGTTAAAGTTTTCTGTACTTTATGGAAACACAACGCGTGGACATTGAATTAACGATATGTAGGACATCCTTGGCTGGAAGATAGAAGACTAGATCTGGACGAGCATCCGGATTATAAAGGTATCGTAATCCAAGGTGCCAATTTGTAAAAGTATCATTACGAATTGTATATGTATGGTACTAACGCCCCAAGGGACTAACACATCAAGCAAACAAACCTCTCTAACTCTCTACCCCCCTCTCTCTGTATATTATACACATTACACAAAACATCAGTACATCTCACGCCACGTTATGTGTATGTTACTATTATATATGGAAGCAATAATTAGTTTTAGCTGACCTACTCGGGCGCATGCCGCCCTGTTGCTAAAGGCTTACATTCTCTAGTATAAATATCTAGCGACAGTGAGCCGTGTTTACAGTGATTAAAACCATGGTTGATGCATCTCATCGCATCCCAGTTGCATAAATCAATGCTCATGCCGTCAATCACTAGAGTGCCTGGTCCTGACACGACTATTTATAGATCGCCGTCATGAAGCCTGAATATTGCTCAGTTCGGCGTTAAACTAAACAAACGTATCAGTGTTTGGTGCCCATTATTGCTACAGATCCTGTACAAGTGTGGGGCATACATTTAATTTGATTGTTGATATGTTATTGCAACATCAATATGCAGTTGCTAACTGCCCGCTGATCACAACCTTGCATGCACATTAAGATGTGCAATAAATATTCATATTTATATCAAATTTAGGTTTTTAAGTTTTAAGTTATTTTTGTCGAATCAGAATATATGCATAATATATATGATTACAGAGGCCTGGGAAATTAAGAGGAGATTTACTATTCGCTGCACCGATCATGTGATCTGTTTATCTTAACAAGTATAGATTTCCTTTACCATGTTCGAAGGCTAATCTCTTTTCTATTTCCTCAGAACCCTGGACAAATCTTAGCAGTGTCTTGTGGGCTTCCATAGAGGTAAGACGTGTTAATCGTTTTTCTTTCCTATGTTTCATCATGGTGGTTCAACCTCACAGAGAGGGATGCTATACACATATATATGACGCAAAAATATTGATAGAGTTCCATCATGGATAGATCAGAGGAAATGCCTGCTGAAGAACAGCATTGAGTCTGTCTCATTTATACATGATGTAAATATTTCTGCAGTTGGGGCATATAAGCGATCGTGAAGGTTTTCTACTATTGCCTTTTGTTCTAACAGTTCGTGAACACTTTTTCCAAGTAGAAAGCCTCGTAGTATCTTGCTGGGCACAAAGGAAGTCGAGTACTTCCTCCACAATGTGTATTTCAACTCTAGATTGATATCTTTTCAATTGCAGTGCAATATCACATTTTCTTTCTGATAAGATGTTAACCGGAAAATATACTTGTGCTCTCTGTATGCAGGAGCATATATACATGATGTCTCTCACTTATGATGTTTGCTATATTATTGCAAGCGTTGGTGATAAAGTTCATGTAAATATCTGTACCCATATAAATATACATCTTAACTCTATTTGATGTATCGGACAGTTGCCATAGCGTAGAACGTTATATGTAAACCTAGACGGTTGAACTTGTCATTTTACTGAGATATTAGCGATACAATGAATATTGCAAAAAGCAGCCTATAGACTTGTAACATGACCCCAAGTCAGGAACAATGAAGTTTGTCCACATTCAAATAGCATCGATCACCTGCGTCCGTTGAAATTGTTCACCCTATACATATGAAATACTTTAATCAATTCATGTGCATTCTGTGCGACTGTATACAATCTTAATGGTAGTCTTTTCTTAATTGTGTCCATTTTATTTCAGCAGCGAAATGTTGGTTTTCTTGGGGTGTGTATTCTGCGTCCTTACTGCAACTGTTCAAGCAGGTAATTACAACCTTCAGTTTCCATTTCCATGTTGCCAAACAGGATCATACAACCCTTCAACATTCATTATGTACCTTTCGGCAGTAATTGATTAGATGTGAGTTAGACAGAAACCTACCGTGTGTTCGGTATTTCCGTGAGTGAGGTTGTCGTGCAATTGCTTTGTCCTCGTCCCCCAAATCCCAGACACCACTGTCAAAATCATCGATTTCCATAAAACCTTTACAGTTTTGGGAATATGTAGAATTCGTGTCGCATTGTTAGTTCAACGTAAAATACGTAATACTATTATTGAAGAGCGGAGATACAGAACATAAGTGCGACTTTCAGAACATGATGCTGGATGTCATGTGTCAGATGTCTTAACAAACACCTTTATCCTTATACGGGGGCGAAATATCGCTACCTAGTTATTCTCAGGGGCGGATACAGCTTTTTGAGGAAGAGGGGGTTGTGGGTGGGGGTTGTGGGTGCACACTAATGAGAAAGAGGGGTGCACACTTCTTTTTGATGAGAGTTCCAAACGGTCATTTAATAAACTCTCAGGACAAAAGGGTCTGGGGTGCGCACCTGTGCCCCACCCCCGACCCACCCCCTCTGGATCCGCCTACTATTCTGTTTGGATAAACATCATTACTGAGAGACTTTTCTGATGTCAGTTTCTATGTTTGGGGAATTATTACTGTTCGGAATATATGCTTCCTCGTTCAACAGGTGATGACGTTGAGATGTTGTGAAGTAATTGAAATACAAAAGAAAGCAAAGCAAAGTCATTCACGCAACCTTCCTAAAGCATTAACTGTAAATTGAAATTCCTCACAAGAGCCCCTCGGAAATTACAATTTAGTGGCTCTCGGTAAGGGGTATTGTATACTAGCCACATAAAGAAACTGTGCATTGTCAAAATATTATCCCAGTTGATAAGTACGATAACAATGTCAAAGGTACATATAAACTTTAATGGAAGGATCATGAGACCATAACAAGTCGGGAGAAGTCAATCACAATGATGTCACGAGTCCACAAGCGGGACAGGGGTCAAACGACCATGTCACAAGCTCAATAACGGGTATGTCCACCATCGGCATTGAGAACAGCAGTGCATCGACGACGCATAGAGCCTATCAAACGTGCAAGGAAGGCTTGTGGGATGTCACGTCAGATTCTCTCAAGTTCTGTTGCAAGGTCAAGGACGTTATCTGGCGGATGAGGAAGACGGCGTAGACGTCGATCCATCTCGTCCCAAACATGCTCTACCGGGGAGAGATCCGGTGAATTTGCAGGCCAAGGCAGTAAGTCAACGTTGTGGTGTTGCAAGAAATCCATAGCAACCCTTACCGTATGAGGGTGGGCATTGTCCTGTTGGAATGTTAACCCAGGGCCATGACGTTGCAGAAAAGGAATTGTCACAGATCGAAGAATCCGATCCCTGTAGTCCACACCCGTTAAGTTGCCCTGACCAATCACCAAAGGAGTTCTTTGGCGTGCTGTTAGTCCACCCCAAACCATCACGGAACCACCACCAAAGCGATTCCTCTCCAAGACACAGGCCTGAGCATAACGTTCTCCCACGCGTCTTTAGGCACGTTGACGTCCATCACTATGGGAAATGTTAAACCTGGACTCATCTGTAAAAAACAACATTTCTCCACCAAAACAAGGGTCTGCGGACATGATTTCGGCGAGCTTGTCGATGACGTTGTGTCAGGATAGGCCGTATGGCGGGACGTCGTGGTCTGATCCTGTGATGACGTAAACGTTGTCGAACTGTGTTGGGGTGGATACGGCGAAGTCCTGGGATGGTTCGGGCAGTCCTCACTGCAGTCTGAAACCTGTTGCGAAGATGGGTCACCCTTATCCATCTGTCCTGTCTGGGCGTTGTTATTGCTAAAAGCGGCGTAAAACCAAACTCAGTCAGTCAGTCTTGGCGTTGTTACACGTGGACGTCCAGAACGTGGCCAATCGATGACGTCATTTGTGTTCTGGTAGTGTCTCACCAGTGCAGAAATGGTGTTCCGGTGTCAGTGGAAATGTGCAGCCACTTGTCGTTGAGACATTCCCCCACGGACCATCCCAATGGCCTCATGACGTTGTGCAGACGTGAGCCTTGGCATGCTATGCGTTTCAATAGCCGTTTAATTTTTTGAACGATCGCAAGGGCAGGGGTTGAGCTTTCCAAAGTGACAGTATTGTGTGGCATTCATTTGCTCTGTTTCTCTTTCCCGGAATGCACGTGCAACAACGTATTGCACGTCTCAAGGATGAACCCACTGACGTCACAGAACGTGTGGCACGTGCATGCATGTTGGATACATGTCACTAATCTCTGAGTTTAAATCCTTATGTGTCTACACAGGAATTTGATTTACATTTTTGTATGCACAGTTTCTTTATTAGAATACAGATGTATTTCACTTTCATTCCTGAGTAATGTGAAAAAAACCCCATTATTCTGTATGTTCATGTTTCAGAATGTGGACTAGGGTACACGGGACCGTGGTGTAAGACGAAGTGCAGTGACGGGTGTGTCGATGGTGCATGCATTCTACACAGGCACGGCGGTATTGTGTGCTCACATGGGTGTAAGGACGGATGGGCAGGGGAATCCTGTCGCACACCCTGCGCAAAGCACTGCAAACACTGCAACCGTACACAGAGCAAAGACTGTGAACAATGCCAGCATTCCTATTACGGTGAGACATGCAGTCACAAATGCGAGACGTGCGGACCAGCGGGTTGCGATAAAGATGGGATGTGTAAAGACAGACCGGCCAATTGTGACGGTGGAGTAATGTGTGGCAAGAATTGTATTAAGAAATGCCGATTTTGCAACACAGACGCAACTGCACCTGCAACCTGCAGCGTATGTCAGAGAAACTATACAGGGGACAGTTGTGACATAACTTGCCCCAACTGTCGTCGTGGGATGTGTACACGGGGACGGCTGTACCGATGGCTGCCGGTGGGGGTATTACGGAAAGTTCTGTGGCAACAAATGTAGGACCATGTGCTTGGAACCCTCTGACAACAGCGCAGAGTCAGTCAGGGACATGTGCGTCAGGGATAATGGGAGTTGTCTGAACGGTTGCAAAGATGGACATTTCGGAGAACGGTGCCAGCACAGGTGTAACACCAACTGCAGAGCCTGCCAACAGACAAGCGGACACTGCACTGGTAGATGCAACGATGGCCACTACGGCGAGAGCTGCGAACACAACTGCCGCAACTGTAAACACGACAAATGTTCCAACGATGGACTTTGCTACCAATGTCTAGATGGTTATTACGGGAAGAACTGCAACAGACAATGTGATCTTATATGCACGTCCTGTGAGAGGTACAATGGGGTCTGTCAGCCACAAAACCTGACTGGCGATGGTAAGAGGTGTTTATTGAACTTCATCTAATAACGGGGCGGTGCCGTAGCCTTGTGGTTAAAGCGTTCGCTCGTCACGCCGAAGACCCGGGTTCGATTTCCCACATGGGTACAATGCGTGAAGCCCATTTCTGGTGTCCCCCGTCGTGATATTGCCGGAATGTTGCTACAAGCGGCGTAAAACCAAACTCACTTACTCGCCCATCAAATAACCCTCGATATTGACATTTGATATTCCTCTTTCACTGACGGTGTGGAACTTTATAATTAAATCTCAAGGGCATTACCCACTGTTGTCCAGTACTCGATTCAGGAGGCGTTCATATAGATTTGGTTCCATTAACTACGGCATATAGTGTGACGTATAGTGTGTCGTATATAATAATAAAAAAATAGACTATTCATGTATCGCAGATATCCATGTGAGTGGCATGTTCAAAGAGCACAACAACGAGTTCCGGCGTCACTGTATATAAGAGAGTCAGAGAAGAGAGATTTTGGGAGTCACTGGTGAAAAGCTAATTCTAATTTGTAGATGTATGTCTTGAGTTGGCTGCTGAACGAGGAGAGATCAGTACAGAGGCGGAGATGCTCGGGAAGATTGTTTCATTCTACAGATGAACATGTCGACAGTATTTTGAAAACTTGTGGTTTAAAACTTCTAAACGTTTATTTATATTTTTAGATGGCGGCACTGTACCCAAGGTTCCACAAGTGGTCACCAGAACCCCGACACAGAGCCAGAGGACAGCAATGGATAGTTATGGTAACTTGTCTATAAATCATTTATGTAGTCGATTATTGTACATTCATTAGATTATTTACAAACATTTTGTCAGTTAAACGGATGATCAAAGTCAATGCATCATTCATAGAACTAGTATACTTAAGTAGGAATTTGACTGACTGACTGAGGTTGGTTTTACGCTGCTTTTAGCAATATTCCAGCAACATCACGGCGGTAGGAACTTGAAATTAGAAGTATTTGACAGTATGAACAAGTTACCATTTTACTTGTAAAACAAACAGCGTAATGCAAAACTGAAACATGTTTCTGTTTAAAATACGTAGCAGTTTTATGTTTGAGTTAATCAATACTCATGTTGCATTTCCAAGCTATTTATTCACCGAAACACCCATTACTACTGTAGGTTAAGCTGCATTGATCTGATCTGTTGAAGAAATAAATCTGAGGACTGTTTCGTGATTGTTGCAGGTCCTGAAATCAAGTCAGCGGAAACGAAATCGGAAGAGTCGAGGGGTCTACCATCCTTCGTGATCTGGCTGTGCGTCGCCTTGGGTGTTCTGACCGTCATCTCCCTGGCCACCATCGGCATCTGCTGCAACAGAGCAAAGAACAGGCGAAGGCATAATACAAATTTTCACCTTTTTGACACCATGCAATTGTAACCTGTATCAAACCGCCATATCCTTTTCGACTGAGACCTTCAATTAATTGAAATCCGAAGAAACATTTCTTTGAGACGCAGTAATAACAATTGTCAATGATCCAACTGTTTCAATAGATGTGAAGGCGTATCGTCATGGTAACTACACTTTAATGTTCTGTTTCCTCAGGAAGAAAAACATCGCTCTCCTGACCCGTAGTATAAGTCACAGGAATGACCCCATCCCGGAGGTGCCTTCTCCAGTAAGAACCAATGTCTTCAGTAATGACTATGATGAAATACCTGAAATGTCTGATGAATTCTCTGGTAGGAGACAAGTTTATGTCGATGAAGGTCAGAATGTTCTGAGAGTTGGAGTGGCTCACTCTGTTGTGGACACTGCCAACGTAGGCGGGATAATGACCAGGGACGGTGTGAGGACAGGAAAGGATGTTAAATACCTGTCTGTTACTGATGTTGTAACCACAGAGGGATACATTGACCTCATAGGGTGATTGATAGGCAACTGCATATACTTCAGTCATGATGTGTGGACATGATTTGCTTTTTATGTTTCCTTTCAATATCCCGCCTTCATTATTGTTTTTATATATTTTACTGTTCACGTTGTAGTTAACAATACTCCAGCTGTACAACGACGCTATACAAATCTGGATCAGGCAAAACCAGTGGTCGATGTCATGAGCACCGATCCACGTAATTAGGATACGATGCGTGCAATCAGTCCATTGACCAAACCTTAATACAGGTCGTGGGCGGCTAATATGCCTTCCCGGAATCCCCGGTGCATAAAGGCCATATTGATTTCCTTTCTGAGTTGAATTGATGGTGAGAAATAAATGCAGTCCCTGGTTTTGTGAATAAAGTAGTAAAGTCAATGTAAGTAAATGAGCATGTTTATGTTATGTCAAACTGAGAAACATTAAACACAGGTAGGGTGTTATGATATGCAAGAATCGGTTGTTGTACAGATGCAGTCCGATGTTGTTTAAATATCATATTTTGTATTAAGTAATATACGATAATGTCCATAAGTAACTGGTTCAGTATGCAGGTCTGGAGAAGATGTGCCCATGTATATAATGTAGTATTGTGTGATCTGGCCCTGATTTCTCGAAACAAACTTACGTTTTTACTCAAATTTCAAACTGAGTTTGACAACTTGAAACAGCTGTATTTTTAACTCAACTGCATTATTTACATAAACAAGCCCTAACAACTTAACATCTATCCACCAAACTCAAATGTCTACTATGTTTGAGTTTAACATCGATTTTAGTTCATTCTGGGAAATACATTTTCTCAGATTTGAGCAAAACCTCTAACTTAAGTCAAAACTCAGACTTAAGTTTATTTCGAGAAATCGGGGCCTGGACAAGCATAGCAATATATTCCAATTATCTGGTTTGCCTATGTTTTGTACATAATCTTCAACATAATTGAGTACATATCTATTGACAGGAATGTTGTTTTATTGATCTATACTATAACCTGTGCATATGCAGTCGAATTTGTTTAATGTAAGATGTGCTTATGTGCTTTATTATTATCATGATATTTTTGTAATAAACAGAGCATTTTGTAAAGTCAAATACTGCTGTCTATTTTCTCTCTTACAAAATGCCAAATACACCTGCACGGTTGAGGTTCGTGAACAGGGTGTTAGGTTAACAGGGCAATTGTGTTCTGTAGGAAATCTAGTATGACCAAACAAACCCCCCCAAAAATGGAAAAAATTAAATAAACCAATCAGAAACCCATAAATTGTCCACTTTCAAGAATTCAATATTGTCACATACACTATTGAACTGTTTGGTTTACTGAAACAAAATATTGAATAAACTTCTATAAATATTTCGTGTTCCTGTAATACTTTGCAAATTTAGGATGCTTGACATGTTATGTGAATCTTAATAATTGGAGATAACAGATGAAGCAGATATTCTCTCTATATATTCTGGGGGTGGGGTAGCCTAGTGGTTAAGGCGTTCGCTCGTCACGCCGAAAACCCAGGTTCGATTCCCCACATGGGCACAATGTGTTAAGTCCATTTCTGGTGTCCCCTGCCGTGATATTGCTGGAATATTGCTTAAAGCGGCGTAAAAGTAAACTCACTCACTCACTCTATATATTCTTCTTTCGAGAACCCAAAATTAATTTTCCAAGAGGTTGGGCGACTTGGTGTTTATAGAGTAGCACCCCAAGCCACGCCAGCATTTCCAAGAGTCCGTCGATTACCCTACATGGTGCGTCTTCTGAGGTATATCTGCACGGCCGGGGCGTGATGCCAACATCCCCACGCTCACTCACGTGTCGACAAATACAACGTGTCACAATAACGAACATTTAGATGTTGATGAATCTGTATATTACTACGTAAACAAGGATGCAAAAGAATGTGCGGCGAAGCCTTTTATGTGTCGTAGTCACAGGAAAAAAACAATGTCATATATATGCAAACTAAATCCTTCATTTTTTATCCTAAACACGTCGAACATCTTAAGAGGAGGCATAATTGTAAGGCCGTGGGTAGCAATACCAATCAACAATGACAGATTTACTGACAATAGGCACTTACAAGTTTCTGTATTTCTTTTACTCAGTTATGAGTATAATCACGTCATGGGCATAGACATAATGCTGTGTGATTCTATTCCTTTAGAACTGATTTACTTAAATTATACTTTCTCTAGTTATTCCAGTATGTCAAGGTTCATAATTTTTGTGGAGATTATAACACGGTGCCATAAAACAATGCATAGATGAACGTTGGTTTATGTCTGATAAACTATCCCCCTGTCCGACAATAGGGATGCTTAAGACGGCAAGGGACATAACTCCATATGAAACCAAAAAATATTTCATGTTTGCAGAAGATAAGTAATTATCTTGCCGTATACTCTTCACAATTCTCGATCGTACGATACTATCAGACATTAAGTATTTGTGACTGTTGATAAAAGGTGGCATGATGAAGAAGGAGCATCACTTGGAAGCTTACGTGAAATTGTACATGTAAATTAGAGAGAGAGAGAGAGAGAGGAATATACTAGGTTATCACATTCCATAATAAAAATAGTCTGGTCGACAGGAGTCATCAAGCTAAACAGAGGATTAAGAGAGCGTGCCTTTTTACCATAAAACTGACCTTATATCGGAATATATATTACATTTCGATAAAAAATGGACCTCGTCTTCAACTGCTCTATTCTTACAATATTTACAAAGTCGTTGTTCAAGAGGGGTTTTAGGCCGTGAGAAACGACCAAGTTCAATCTCCAGAGGTAAAGTTCCACATCGTAGTTTGGCCAGGATACTTCGTTGAGAACTATTGAAAATAGTGCGGGCATATGTTGATACTGATAAAGAGGTCTTAAACAGCCGGAACGTTCGTAGTTTGTTGCCGTTACAACAGCCAGTATCATCCCATAGTTGTGAATACCAGTTAGAATAATCAATATCAAACAACTTCTCTTTTATGAAAATGAAATCGATTGTAGAAATACGCAGCATGTCAACAAGAGGTAAATCCAAAGAGATCAATAATTGTAAAACTTTGTTATCCCATGACTTACGGAAGGACAATGACCAGTTGTGAATATTGCTTATAATACTATTGAGCTTAAAGATTGTAGGCGCTTCCAATAACGGACAGATTCAATACGATGTTTTGTGAGGTTAGAAAACCAACCCATCTCGCCTCTTACGGCTAAGTTCGGGGTATTACGACCTACACCCAAAAAGAAAAGACATGCCCTATTTCGGATAGCATTTATACAACTGAATTCACGTGACCCCCAAACAGCAGAGCCATACGAGAGTATTGGTTGAACTAAGTTATCATAAAGTTTGTTAAACACATCATAATGCATCCCACCAACTGCTTTGAATTTACTAATTAAGATACCCAATCCTAGATATTTATAGGGGTTACATACATCGATGTCGTCGTTGCCACAAGAAAATCTGAACTCGGTTCTTGCCATAGAAACAGGTCTATAATGAACTATTTTGGTCTTCGAAGCATTAATCTGCAAACGCCATCTTCTGCACCATTGATTGACACAGTCTAATATAGACTGTAAAGAATCTTCGTCTCCTGCAATGAGCGCAATATCATCTGCGTAAAGAAGAACACTAAGCATGAAATTGGCGTTGATCTGAATACCACAATTCAGTTGAAATTCATGTAAATTAGATTAAACATCTTTTCAACTCTTGAGCTGACATAACTTAAAGCCTATTCAACAACACCAGCTAACGTCGACTTCCGATTCTAAGGAAAGCTGGCGAAATGTAAATCAAAGCTTTTCATAAAATACAGATTCCCCGAAAAATGTTTCACCATCGGGTCACACAGATCGAGCCCGTGCCGCAATGACTGTGTATCTGAGCAGCGCGAGAGAACAGAGAAGGAATGTTATACTTTGACTGTATATGTAAGAAAAGAATCCTTCGCAAATCCTTCCCTGTATACGACATACAAATGTTACCCTTGAGTCATATAGATTTGAAAATGTATTATTTAGGAATCGGATTATTAACATTATCAATAAAGACAATCAGACATTAAATGAAAATCACATAATCAACGAGTTGTTGTAATATCCATCACGAAACAATCAAACTTGTCTGTAAATATATATAACAGTTCTGGTAACGCAAGAAAGTATGTTTAAATCTACATGTCACTTGCGTCCTCATAGTAAGTCAATTGACGTGTTTTAACTTTAACCATTTAAACGTGAAGTATTTCGTATCAGCGTGAAATCAACAATGACAATGACGTATATTTGAAACTAGTGTCAACAATAACACAGTGGTAGGGTTCTGCGCTGGTGGAAACAGAAACTGTCAAGGTCAGTGGAGTGTAATCAAGGTGTCCTGATGTTAAAACAAAACATATTGTTTATGTACCAAGTAACTGCGTCATAGAGAACGGCGACATATGTACATAACGTCAAGTCACGTCTAAAGTCTAGTACGGGTACATTTGTACAGCAATCTAAGTGTATGTAGATACGTGTGTATTGTTTAAAACATGAGTGAGTGAGTGATCTGCTTATTTATATGTCTCAGGCAAACACCCTTGAAGGATGAGGACTATTTTTATGGATATACATGTTCAACTTCTTTATTCTGTATAGGGACGTTTCGACATAGATTCTAATGTCGTTGTCAAGCAAGTGATACATGAGAAGTAATTTTGGGTGATATATATACATGAGATGTTTGGACAACAGATGAAGGATGAGGCGAAAATGAGTGTTTATAGAATAGAAGAGGCTCATAACACAGATAGTATACATGATTAAGTAGGTTGATGGAAGCCAGTGATGGAAGTACATGGTTGTATACATAAGGGATTAAGGATGTTGATTGGCAGCCAGTAGGGGGTGATGTACACAGGTGTATACATTGGTGATAAGGTACTGTTGGGAAGTCAGTAGTGATGGACACAAGGGATAATGTACAATGGTAGGGTTACATGAAAATTAATTCAGCGAGTGATGATAGGCCTTGGGGATGAAATATCCTTCATCTCCGTTGATAGATGGGGTAATCTTCTTTATATGGACAGCTTCAAGTAGTTTGCGGGTTTTGAAGTCAGTTTTGTTCCTCTCGATGATCTTGGTGGTGTTCCAACTGATGTTGTGGTTTGGATTGGCTTTCAGGTGGTCAGCTATGGCGGATTTAGAGTCTTTGTTTCTTACTGAGGCCTGGTGTTCTTTGATCCTAATGGTGACTGGTCTTGAGGTTTCACCAATGTAGGATTCGCCGCAGTCGCATGCTATCTGGTAGACGACACCTGTGGGATCTGGCGTCTTATTATTCTGTGGGATCTAAACATATTTTTATTTCGCCAAAGCAGAAATCTGGATAGGCGAACAAGCCTAGAGGCTTATATTAACGCCACTCCAGGACATTGTTCAAAATTAATAGCTGGACATAATGAAATAGTTTGACAACAAAAGAATAATACCATAACAAATATATGATTGAGTAACAAATATGTTCGTTCTGGTGTTGGTTATACCTAGCAATGAAATGGGCTGCCGCAGAAAATCACGTTATATAAAATTTGTCTTACACTGAATATATATGTTGAGGTGTTAATCACTGGAAGCGGTTACTTTTAGAAATGAACTGGTGTAATGAGTTAAGAATGCGCCGTTACCGTATAACGTAGTGTTAATATCATATTCTTGAATATAAAAATACACAGTTATTCTTAAATTTTGTTAGTTCCGACATGTAAAAAGGTATTGAATAACGTCTTGGTTATAATAACCACATGAGCACCTGGGTGTGTCCGATACATGCCGATTATATCTGTCTGCGTTTAGATCACTGCAGCCAAACTTGAGGCGACAATGAATGATTTGACAAAATCTAGTTCCAAAATTCAAATCAAAGAAATTGTGAGTTTCTGTCGTGTTTATAGCGTTAACAGCTCTATCAGGCAATGAATTCCACGTCATAATCGCGCTCGGTTAAAATGATTGAGAATATCTTCGCGTTCTACAATTAATAGTTTGAATGGAAGTACTATTTCTAAGATTATAGTTACTTTGTTCGAGTACTCTACCTGGTACAAGATCGTTCAAATAATCAGGAGTCAGACGATGATACATTTAATAGAAAGTTATGAGTTTAGAGCGATGTCGTCTTTGTTTCAGTGTGCTATGATTAGTTTCCCTGTATATGTTATCGTGACTGGAGCCACGATACGCACCGCTTATAGTTCTTAAGGCGTCTAAATGTAAATGTTCCAGTAAAATCGCCTGTTCAATCGTACAATTATCCCATATATGACAGCAGTAATCAAAAAGTGGTAAGATAAAGGAGTTGTATAAAGTATTAAGCGTTTTCCGAGATAAACGATATTTCAAACTTCTCAGACAATTGATCATTGGACTAATTTTCTTTATCATGTCATGTTATACCAAAGTGTTTATGGTTATCCACTTCTTTAATAATTTCACCATTCATTAATAAGTTTGGTCTGACATAGATTTTCGTTTTTTTGAGTGAATGTTATACTCTCAGTCCTACTAGGATTAAAGCTAACTTGCCACTTTTTAGCCCAATCTGAATTTTTTGCCAAATCATTGTTGATAATTGCGGCTGCCGCAAAAAGACGGATGTTACTATCTATACCATCCACAATGTCACTAATATAGATGATGAACAAAAGCGGTCCAAAAAACGGAACCTTGGGGCACGCCAGCTTCCACAAGTTTAATATCTGAACTGTATCCACTTATTACTACTCTCTGCATTCTACTATCTAGATAACTTTCAAACCATTCCATGAGTTCACTCCTTATACTGTAAGCATGAAGTTTATGAATAATGCCCCTATGCCAAACTCTATCAAAGACTTTACTTATATCGCAAAATACGGCTCTAATTTCCTTTCCTTTATCTACTGCATCTGCGATGTAGTTATAGAGATAAGTTAATTGATTTACTGTAGAATCGCCAGGCATAAATCCAGATTGTAAGTTTGACAGAATATTGTTATCTCTAAAGAAGTTGAAGACGTCTTTAAAAAGGCATTTTTCAAAAACCTTAGCGACACAGCTAGTTAGCGCAACTGGCCTATAGTTTGAACAGTCGTGCTCATCGCCTTTCTTATGAAGCGGGATTACCGAGGCTAGTTTCCAAGTTGAAGGGAAAGTTTTATTACGAATGGAGACGTTAAACAACTTAGCTAACAACGGCGTTAGAGAGACTGAAGATAATTTCAATACAATGTTTCCAATGCCATTTGGCCCCGTGGCTTTAGGTGTGTCTAAACTCAAAAGAATATCTCGAACATCTTCAATACTTATTGTGATTAATGATAAAAGATGATTGATTTCACGATGCTCGATATCAGGCAGATCGGCGGTTGGATCAGCAACTTGGGATTGTTCTGAGAAAAATGAGTTGGGTATATCAGCAATATCTTGTTCGTTGTCATAAACTATATTATTGCTGACAATTGATGGAAACGATGATTTAATAGAATTTGTTTTTAAATAATAACTCAACAACTCAACAACTCAACATTGCGACTAGCGGCGCCTAAAACAACTTGGAAACCCAATCGTGAGAGTTTCCCTCACGTATCTGTGTAATTAGTATTGGTTGGTTTGTTGTTTTACGCCGCACTCAACAATATTCCAGCTATATGGCTGCGGTATGTAAATAATCGAGTCTGGGCCAGACAATCCAGTAATCAACAGAATGAGCATCATTCTACGTAATTGGGATACGATGACATGTGTCAATCAAGTCAGTGAGCCTGATAACCCGATCCCGTTCGTCGCCTCTTACGACAAACATGGGCTACTGAAGGCCAATTCGAACCCGGATCTTCACGGGTCGTATAATTAGGGAAATACGGCAAGTTTAGCAGACATCCACTATGATTAACACCCTTCCTTTCCCTCCTGAAATTCACCCTCAAAATCATGTTCCATTAGTCAATCAACTTCATCAACTCCCAGGGCCACGAATGAACACTAACCAGTTGAAAGTTTAGATAATATTGTCGCTGAAAACCCCCGAGATCTTCTACACGGCAGACCCGTGAAGATCCGGGTTAGAATTGACCTTCAGTAACCCATGCTTATTGTAAGAGGCGACTAACGGGATCGGGTGACTTGATTGACACATGTATCCCAATTACGTAGATCGATGTTCATGGTGTTGATCACTGGATTGTCTGGACCAGACTGGATTATTTACAGACCGCCGCCATATAGCTGGAATATTGCTGAGTGCGGCGTAGAACTAATCGCACTCCCTCACTCACTCTACACGGCAATGGCGCACTTCCGTTTTGTAAAATGAGGAGATATGAAACATTCTACAATACAGGGTCATGTCAATAGGTCGCCAGAGGGCAAAGGATGCTTAAACTTGTCATCAGTGTCCATGACAAAGGTAAGTAGTAATTGTTTCCTTGATTGGGTCAAGGCTTGTATGTTTCTATTTCCTTCGACAAGCCTGGTTTGCCATCATTATGTTGGGAGCTGCAAGAGTGGTAAGTCACATGTGCCGTTTCTGCTGCTTGGCAATCTTTATCTGTAATTTTTTTCACCTAGAGTTTGCAAATAGAAGGAGAATGCAACCAAAGAAACTATTTTTATATGCTTCTCGTCTCTGTTATGCAGTGATGATTTGACATATAGTTGCTTATTTTTTAAATAAAGGTACTATTCTTTTGTGATGGTCACTATGCTGCTAATGCACCGTGTATCTTGAAAATTGTCAACGCGAGAGACATACTTTTTAGCAACTGTTTCAATCCTCGGTTAGTTTAATTGGTTTAATTCATAGTTAATTAAGCTGATTACCAATGGAAAATTATCAGCATGTTTTAGTCTACTTTTTGCATTGTAAAACAATTCATAATTATTTTCACCTCTGAGATGATAGAAAATAACAACTTGTCATGTTCTCCTTTGTAAGCTCGAGTTGTGATGTAAATTTTATACGCATCAATACAGTGTTATGATAATAGCGGCAAGTGTTAATGTAAATGTTATACACATCAATACAGTGTTATGTTAATAGCGGCAAGTGTTAATGTAAATGTTATACACATCAATACAGTTATATGTTAATAGCGGCAAGTGTTAATGTAAATGTTATACACATCAATACAGTTATATGTTAATAGCGGCAAGTGTTAATGTCACATGGCCTAGAGGTTAAAGCGTTCGCTCGCTATGCCGAAGACCCGGGTTCGATTCCCCATATGGGGGACAATGTGTAAAGCTCATTTCTGGTGTTCCCCGCCATGATATTGCTGGAATATTTGCAAAAAAGCGGCGTAAAACTATACTCACTCACTCACTCATGTGGCCTTGTTACCGCCAACGTAGAAAGATTGACTTAATTGTCTTAACATGACCGAGTTGTCTTACTGCTGCTTTCGGACGTTATATTCCTTCACGATGCACGTGGCAGTACTGATGATACCTCATTGCACTGATTAATTAGCTGAAGACTTGCAGACACAATTTTTGTAACTTCAAAAGACTTAGAGAAACGGCTCCTTTGCATCAGCTTTAGACCAATTATCCGATTCCATTTATTCTGACAATTAGCTTCGAAGGAAATTATGTTCTAAAGGTTAAGACAGCCATTTTATTCGTATTTTGATTGTCTGGCCTAGATTCGAATAATTTTGGGGCTCCGTTCAACAATTGTTCGTATCTTTTGCCATCTTGCAAATAGTACAGTGCCAATTTCCACAAAATGTTTATGTACAACGGTCACTTAGATCCTTTTCTATACAGTCAGAGTCAATTTCTATATATACTTGGACACTTTATAAATGGTGAGTCGTAATCCTTGTTGGTAAATGGGGTTTGGAAAGGAGTAAAACGTTCTGTTGGGTTTGGTTACTGGTAGAGATATAGTTTTGTTTTTCTTCAACAAACATGAAAAATCATCTTTCTGCAGATTTAAACAATTTCAAACTGACACACAGCTACAGTAATATCATCAAAATTTGATTTTCTAAACGGATATGTGAACTAAAGATACCACCCCTGAACTTTGTTAAGGATCCCCGTAGTTGCGAAGATGCTAGAACTCAGGAGCAATAATATATAAAATGTAGTGTATGCGTACAAAACGTCACAGTTTGCTATTGGAGATGATCATTCCTGATAGCAAATGGCTTTGCAAACCGGGTTTAATAGTTTCTGGTCTTCAACAACTTGAAAAAACCGAGTGTAGGAGAATTCGTATCTGAATAATACTAATGATTAACATTTTCTGTGCTAACTATCTTCCGATGTAACAGGCAGGATTACATTTATACTCGTACACACTAAAGCAACACAGTGGACCCGCAGTTGCCTCCCTGCTCACGATAGAGTACGCTAATACTACTATCAGGAAATAGCGAACCTGTGTGAAAGTTAGACACATTTATGAAAATAGGAACGCTGATTTCCACATTTGACAGTGATGGTCGATAACATATTGAATATTTTGGTTTCAGGTTGTCTACATTCAGCTGCACAATGTCGTTGTACTTCGCCGTATTTGGTTTCCTTGTTGCAACTGTCCATGGAGGTAACTATTACTATCAGTTTCAACATCCCATGTAATCTAGCTGGGGTAGGCATCCCCTAGCTGGGGTGAAGGTCGTGATTCAGCACAACACTCCAACACTAGGGATCTGCACCTGAGATATGAAACAACATTTATTGGTCACATTAGTGGTTTTATGGGTGGATTTGTCCTTGAAACGAAGTAACTGAATGTTGGTAAACACGGAAGTACATTACCCCATGTCATGGTGCGTTATTTGGTCATACTGGTTTCAATGTTATGGCAATAGCGTTTGGAATTAGTGTGATTATTCAATCACGAATGCACACATCGACGCTTTAGAAATTAAAGATAATTGGCAACGAAGTGTGGCTATTAGATATTTGTCCCTGAACTAATAGAAACAAGACAAAGTAACTACACAACGTTGTGACACGGAAGATGGAACAAGTGCTAATTTCCCGGAGCTCTACACCCATAGTTGCACAATGGCATATGAAAAATATGGGACATTCGGTGTCCATGATAAGGACATCGTTTTTCAAAATATTGATTGTGACTCGCGTGAGGCAATCAGTTCGGTACCGTTTATACAAGTTGCTCTTCTGCGTCGTAACCAAATTTGTCGAGACTACGTATGACCCAATTTCTCTTCAAGTATTAGATTACGGAACTCGCCGCTGATCTCACCTCCATTAATTATATCATGAATAGTACTCATGAGTTATGTCAGATCCATTAAACTATCGCGTTAGAATTCCCAGTACTGTTAATAAGGTAATTTCTGAATGTGATACCCGTGAAGGTCCGGGTTAGAATGAACCTTCAGTAACCCATGCTTGTCGTAAGAGGCGACTAACGGGATCGGGTGGTCAAGCTCGCTGGCTTGGTTGACACATGTCATCGGCTCCCAATTGCGCACATCGATGCTCATGCTGTTGATCACTGGATTGTCTGGTCCAGACTCGATTATTTACAGACAAACATTTGTTTCCTTTACACGGTATAGTATGATGTTGTACCTATATGTGGATGTAATTATTAGAAATAGAATACACGAGAGGTTGTTTAGTTTCAGGATGTCCTCCTGGATTCACGGGGTATAAATGTGACACTCAGTGTGCGCCAGGGTGCCTCAACGGAGCCTGTACTCTACAGGACCACGGAGGAATAGCATGTGCGGATGGTTGCAATGACGGCTTCTCTGGAGAATCCTGTCGTACCAAATGCCCTGGACAATGCAAACGTTGTGACAGATATCAGAGTGAACGCTGTCTGGAGTGCAACTCCGGCTATTTTGGCGACTTTTGTCAACGGAGTTGCCATACGTGTGGAGAAGCCGGGTGTGACAACGAAGGAATGTGTAAAGAACGTCCTCAGAACTGTGAAGGGGGAGTTATTTGTGGGAAGACGTGTATCCAGAAATGCCGTCTTTGCAGCCATACTGGAACTTGCAGTCAATGCCAGTCAAACTATGTAGGGGATAGTTGCCAAAAGCTGTGTTCGAACTGCCTTGGAACATGCACGCAAGCTGGTTGTTCCGGTGGTTGCAGTTGTGGATATACTGGCGACTTTTGCCAGAAACAGTGCAGCAGCAACTGCCTAGAGTCTTGTAACAACAACAGAAGTTTGTTGATGTGCGACAGTGTTGATGGAACCTGTCTAAAGGGTTGCAAAGATGGACATTTTGGAGAACGGTGCCAACACAGGTGTAACAAGAACTGTAAACAGAAGATCTGCGTTCAGGAAGGAGGCAAATGTCGCCATGGCTGTAACAGCGGGTACTATGGGGAAAGCTGTGAAAACTCCTGCACCAACTGTAAGCAGGACATGTGTACAAGAGACGGACGATGCTATGAATGTAAAAATGGTTATTACGGTCCGAACTGTGACTTAAGATGTGAGTCAATATGCACGTTGGCTTGTGAGAGGTACACTGGCGTCTGCGTGGCCCCAAACACTACCGTCGATGGTAAGACCCGCTTATCGGTGTTTATCTAATGTGTCATTTACAAATGCACCCGAGATTCCACTGTTACTGCTTAGTGCTAATATGGAGTGAGCCATTTATCAACGTATTTAGCACCACTACTCGATCTGTTGATAATCACATCGTACTTGAAATGGACCCGTGAAGGTCCGGGTAAGACTATTGATCTTCAGTAACCCATGCTTGTCGTAAGAGGCGACTAACGGGATCGGGTGGTCAGGCTCGCTGACTTGATTGACACATGTCATCGGTTTCCAATTGTGCAGATCGATGCTCATTCTGTTGATGACTGGATTGTCTGGTCCAGACTCGATTATTTACAGACCATCGCCATATAGCTGGAATATTGCTGAGTGCGGCGTAAAACTAAACTCACTCACTCCCTCGTACTTGAAATGAAATGTTTTAATGTTGAACGGCAATATATTGTTCGAATTACGTCCCCATCTGTTTCTATTTAATATCCTAATCAAAGAAATCTTTATAATTTCAGTCACTAAAAAAAACCATGGCGCTACAGGAGTGGGCCAGCTCCCCGCCGTCAGTTCCTCCACCCAGAACAGCTCCTTGTTCAATCTGGGAGAATCGAAATCTGAACCCAATGGACGTCCACACGGCATCGTGTTTTGGTCATGCATTGCCGCCGCCATCGCTGTAGCTACTGTCGTCGTCCTCACGTGCATTGGCGTGTGCCACCAAAGATTCAAGAATCGGCGTCTCCGAAGGCATAATAATAGTCCTTACCTGCTTGGCATCATATAAGACTAAAATGCATGCAAACGTTTTTTTCTCAATACGCACTTGTGTATGTATTCATACTTTATGGAATCCAAATCATGTTTGTAGTTCGAGAGGTAGAGTTGAATCCATAGAGGCGTGGACTTGTTTGTTTTCCAAATGTGTAACTGTCAGTTGGATATGGATATATATATGCCAACGAATGAAACAGACTTCATCCCGTCATGGCAATTACAGCTTCATGTTCTCTTTCCCCAGGAAGGAGGAGATGATTCCTGTGGCTCGTAAAATAAGCCAAGAAGACCCTGTCCCGGAAGTACCTTCCACGGCTAATTCATATGCCTGCCAAAATGACTACGAGGAAATACCTGAAATGTCTGATGACGTCAGCGGTTTGACACGTTTAAATATCGACGAGAGCCAGGCCGTTGTGAGAGAAGATGTCCACATTCCAAGAGAAACCAAAATGCCAAGGAAGGTTTATCTGAGAGACAATACGAGGAATTATAGGTCCAAGGATGTCCATGTGAATAAGTACCTGTCGGTTATGGACACTGCCCCCACTGATGGATACCTCGACATCATAGGCTGACTCCAGACGTATATACTAGTGGGGATCACTGAGCAGACTTTAATACTGGACACATTTCGTTACAGGCTCTACAAGTATATACCAGTAGGGCCCGATAAGTATACTTTAATACTGGACACATTTCGTTACGAACTCTACAAGTGTATATCAGTGGGCCCGATGAGCATACTTTAATACTGGACACATTTCGAGTACGGCCCGATGAGCACATTTCGTTACGAACTCTACAAGTGTATATCAGTGGGGCCCGATGAGCATACTTTAATAGTGGACACATTTCGTTATGGACTCTACAAGTATATATCAGTGGGGCCCTATGAGCATACTTTAATAGTGGACACATTTCGTTAAGGACTTCTAAACCTCCTGGTGAGGATAACTTAATTCCTGATTTTTTTAAACACTCAATGGATATAATATTACCTTATATTGAATTGTTATTTAATGTTTTGTTTGACTCTTCTTTATTTCCAGATAGCTGGAGCACAGCAATCATTATACCATTGTATAAAAAGGGTGACCCAAATGACCCTAACAACTACAGGGGAAATATCACTGCTGAGTACATTTAGCAAACTTTATACATCTGTAATTAATAATAGGCTATCGTTTTGGGCAGATTCGTAGGATAAGATTGTTGAATCACAAGCAGGATTGAGAAAGGGATACAGCACAATTGATAATATTTTTATTCTACAATCAGTTCTTCAACGATATTTATCTAGAAAAAAGGGAAAAATCTATGCGCTTCTTGTTGATTTTAAAAAAGCTTTCGATCTTGTAAATAGATCCAAATTATGGTATGTTCTTAAACGTAGAGGCGTTTCTCCCAAAATGTTTAACGCATTAACTTCTATATATAACTGTGTCAAGGGACGGGTTCGTGATAGCTCTTCATCTTTATCTCAACTATTTGATCGCCCACATGGCTTGCGTCAAGGGTGCGTTTTAAGCCCCTTGCTCTTTTCCTTCTTTATCAATGAATTAGCTTTAGAAGTTGAGTCAAGCTGTTACAATTGCAATACAGTTGCACTCTGATGTTGTACAAATATTCCTTCTGTTATTTGCTGATACTATATATGGTCTACAAAAACCTATGAATGTTCTAGAAGGCTTCTGTGAAAGTCATCAGTTATCAGTAAACTTAGAAAAAACTAAAGTTCTCTACATGTATGGATTTGGCTATCTTTGGGAGGAACAATGCGTAGTTGGTGTTAACAATTTTATGTCGGTGTTTGTATACAGACTTAAAGTATCTTATGAGCAAGATTGGCATGCAGCCCTCGATAGCAGCACTAAATATTCAACATATATTTCGTTTAAGTCATCATTTGGCTTAGAATTGTAAATCAAAGAACTCACTATTTCAAAATTCAGGGCTGCGTTTGCACAGTTTAGATGCTTTTCACACCGGCTTCGAATTGAAACTGGCAGATATGCTAATGAAACTAAATTTGATAGATTATGTCTAGTATGCAAAGAACGATACATTGAAGATAAATACCATTTTTTATTAGTATGTAATGTATACCAAGATCTAAGTTCTTTGCTTTTGCCAAAAAAATATTATTTGAATCCTACTGTACATAAATTTAGCATGTTAATGTCAGAGATAAATCCAGAAACTTTAAAAAAAATTAGCAGTGTATATATATATAAAGCTATGCGTCTTAGACAATCATTTGTACATATTGTAACATAACGGAACCGTATGTTATTGTTTATATTGTATATACTCTCTCATAGTCAATTGGAAATATAGAATGGGCCTGTGGCCTCCACTACAAGAAATAAAGATTGATTGATTGACTCTACAAGTATATACCAGTAGGGCCCGATGAACATACTTTAATAGTGGACACATGTCGTTACGGATTCTAGAAGTATATACCAGTTGTTCCCGGTGAGCGTACTTTAATAGTGGACACATTTCGTTACGGATTCTAGAAGTATATACCAGTTGTTCCCGGTGAGCGTACTTTAATAGTGGACACATTTCGTTACGGATTCTAGAAGTATATACCAGTTGTTCCCGGTGAGCGTACTTTAATAGTGGACACATTGGACATATTTTCGTCATTGACCCCAAATGTATATACCAGTGCGGCCCGCTGAGCATACCAGTGCGGCCCATATTCCGATACGGACTACAGCCGTTTAGTCCCGGGGCTACAAATGTAAATACTTAAAAAGTGAACACATTCCACCATTAACTCATTTTATACCAATGCCTAAACACATACGCACCTTAACTGTGGACAAATTCAGTTACTGACTTTACCACACACAGTGTGTTTTGTCCCACATTTTATACCAGGGAAATCAATATTGCCGAAATGTTTATACAGGATTTGTACATAGCAGAAACATTTGTTTGATTTGCTGGAAAGTTTAAACGCTCGATGTGGTGACTTCACAGTTGACAAACAAGGAAACATAATTAGGGCCACCTGGGATTCGAACTCATGGTCATATGTTTCCTTGAAGCCGTTAAATGATGGATGTTTTATCAATACTGTTGTGAATAAGGACAAAGTGTATTTGGTGCAAGGTTCCCCAAGCCTGAATGACCGGTTGTGTTAATGAGGCGGAAGTGGCCAGTGTCGAGCGTTCTGTATGTAACACTATGTAGATATCTTCTTGCCTTTATTCTGAATGTTTATTCATCTTATAAAAAAAAAAAATTTTTTGCTAATACTTGTTTACATTTGATATGCTGAATGTTCTTGTCATATTGTGCACTTTGTACATTTTGCCAATGCATTTTAATGCCATGATGATATGCCTTAAGACAGCTTGACGTCATCGCTTTTTAAAATAAAATAGAGTGAGTTATATTCGTGCTCTGTGTTGTCTGTAGACGAGTGAGGTTGGTCTCTATGCCGCTTTGAACAGTATTCAGTTATATAATGATTGGTCAGAAATACCCCTTTCCCAAACGCTATGTTTAATATCACTGGAATATACAGCGATATTTATGTTACCTTACCTGTGTTTCCATGACGCAGTGGCACACTCACTCACTCACTCACTCACACTCATACAAACACAAGGATACACACAGCCACACTCACACACATACCCAGAAACACATGCACACACATACCCACTCACATACACACAAACCCACTCAAACACATACGTTCACACACATACACACAAATACTCATACACACATACACACGTGTCGAGTGATGAATGTGTGTTCACTCTGTGTGGTGGTAGCAAGTGTAACTACATAGAGCATACATAAGCTGTGTGTCAACTTGTCAACACGGAAATACCGTTAGATTCTTTCTGGTGTTTAAAGAGGACACACAGACATATTGACACACTTGGATGTATCTGATTATTTGTTTTAGTTTGGGCAAAACTGCGCTGCTCAGCTGTAATGTGCAGTGACAAAGACTGGAAGTCAATGAAAGAAATATGGTATCCCCGTAAACTGTAGTAAGAGAGAGTTTGACAGTTCGAATCAGCTGGCTGGTTGGGTTCATCGCAGTGCACCATGCATCAGGAAGTATTTCAGTGAACCTGTAAACTGTGTGCCATGAAATATTGCAACATCATATCAACCCAGATCAAGTGTATCAAACCACACACACAGTCAGACACACAACCATGTACACCAATACACACACCCATTACATCTGCAGTGAAACAATCTGTCTATTAAACTGCACAGTCGACCATGTACCGTAATGTTGAACACGTTACTAAGGTAACCAGCCATACACACACACATGTACACAACCATGTCAAACCACACACAGACATCCACACAACCATGTACACCAAACCACACACAGAGTCAGACACACATCTATAGACACATCAAAACACACATACAGCCATACACACAACCATGTACACCAAACCACACACACAGCCATCCACACAACCATGTACACCAAACCACACACACAGCTGCACACTCCAGACACACAGTCATAGACACATCAAACCACACACACAAAACCAGACATACACCAGACACACAGCCGCACACACCAGACACAGCCATACACTCACCAAGCCAGACACACATCTTTGGTGACTCTTACCACCCTCTCCACGATAAGAGTCTCTCCTTATAAAAGCAGGTCTATTGATATATTGAAAAAAACATCAGTTGAAATGTTTAACAGGATGTCCATTTACTGATGTGTCATACAAATTACAAGCCTGTCGAATTCCTTGCCCATTGTGTCTCAACACATTTTACACATGCTGAGTGTCTGGAGCCCTGCGTCATAACATGCATAACAGCGTTACCCGCCAGAACCCGGAAACTTATACAGGCTCATGATAGCTTTCTGGCGTGAAGCTCTGGGTATGTAAATATAACTTGCTTTACATTTTAAATGGCGGAAAATGGGTCTGTAACATGTGTTTATGTTATTAATATCAATTCAAATCTTAAACTGTACGAGTTGACGTATTTTTTTCTTGGAGAAACGTGCCTCGGATACAACGAACTGAAGCTCGGTTCAGCAGTATTCGGGTTAACCGTTGTGACTGATTCTGTATAGACGAATTGTATTTATATAACACAAGCAGAACCCTTACCTTTAGGTACAGTTTAACTCAACTCCGGTATAGCCGCTTGCACATCTGTCCTTGATAGAACTGTTGTTTCAAAGTGTTTAACCTTTTTGTCAAGTTTCCCGAAGTTCTCGCTGTGTGAAGGTCTTCAATGACATATTACTGACAGGTATGAGGTTACTTGTATACAATGGGATTCCATGTACATTGCATAAGCTGGCAGTAGTGATGGTGATTTGGATTTCTAACCCACAGTTTTATATAATTAGGATCCTGACATTCCTAACGGACGTTCCTCAGCAATGGGTTAAACCGCCTGGGAGATAACCATGGCATTGACTCGGTAGGTATAATATCACATTTGCCAAATGTCTGCTTCAACACAATTACGTTTATGTTGGGAGCTATAGCTAGGAATTAGTGAGTGAGTGAGTTTAGTTTTACGCTGCACTCAGCAATATTCCAGCTATATGGTGACATAAATAATCGAGCCTGGACCAGACAATCCAGTGATCAACAGCATGAGCATCGATCTGCACAATTGGGAACCGATGACATGTGTCAACCAAGTCAGCGAGCCTGACAACCCGATCCCGTTAGTCGGCTCTTACGTCAAGCATGGGTTACTGAAGATCAATATTCTAACCCAGACCTTCACGGGTGAGCTAGGAATTAGGGCTGGGACGGGTCCAAATCTTCTACCCGGGTACCCCACCCCCTATTACCCTACCCAACCCGGATACCCGTTATGTTAATTCCTGACATAAAATTTGTAAGAAATGGCTATATATTCTTCAGCTCGGAGGTTTTTCAATATCTTAACCATGTATACTCTCCCAAAAAAGAAACGCATCATGAAAATAGCAATTTCATGTAGCAATGAAATAAAACGTGATTCATTTTACAAAAGGTTTTGCTCTGTTCATGAGTCCTATGGTGTTTATGTTTTGAAACATCGCAACAAAACGCACCATCCGTAAAATACCCGTATTTAACAGCATGATTTTCAATTTCGGCGTGTCGTGTCACAGAATACACAATTCACATGCAATGCACGTGAAAGTTGGGGATCAGATAGTCTCAATGATGGGTATAAAAGGTTGATCGCTGTCTGTTGATTATTCACTGTATTTGGAATATTGTTGACGAACGCAAAATGCCACGTCTAAGTGAAGCCAACCGTCATATCGCCATTGGTTTGCTTGAAGCTTGCCAGTCTCAGCGTGCAGTTGCCCGACGCATGACTGTTCTCCAAAGCACCATTTCACGGCTCTGGGAGCGATATCGCCGACAGAATGCGGTAGCAGATGCCCCTCGTAATGGGCGACCTCGAGCGACCACTGCGGCGCAGGATCGCTACATCCGGGTACATCACCTGCGTCATCGAACACCTACGGCGACCAGTACCGCTCGACAAATATCCGGATTGAGGAGGCTTTCTGCACAGACCGTCAGGAACAGGTTGAGAGAGGCTGGTTTACGTGCCAAAAGAAATTATTTTGGCCCTGTGTTTCGACAACAACATCGTCGACATCGAGTTCAATGGTGCACTAACGTTCAGGCCTGGAACCTACCGAATTGGCGTAGAATCTGGTTCAGTGATGAATTACGATTTCTATTGGAACGACGCGATGGAAGAATTCGGGTGTACAGACGTCGACGTGAACGTTTCGCCGACGCTTGCGTTCCCCAGGTGGACAGATTCGGCCGGGGCAGTGTTATGATGTGGGGGAGGATCACCTGCCGTAGGAGAAGTGATTTGGTGATAATCCAGGGCAACCTGACAGCTCAACGGTACTGTGACGAAATCCTACGCCCACACCTCCTTCCAATCATTGATCGCCAGAGGGAGTTGTTTCAACAGGACAATGCCAGGCCCCACACAGCACGTCGCACTAGAGACTTCCTCCAGAACCACAACATCAATGTGCTCCCCTGGCCTTCAAGATCACCGGACTTAAACCCGATCGAACATCTGTGGGATGCCCTGGACAGACGGGTGCGACGCCGTAACCCTCAGCCCCAGACACTTCAGCAACTCGCACAGGCACTACAGGCAGAGTGGGCTGCGATTGGGCAACACGAGATTCTGAGACTTATTCGTTCGATGCCGAGGCGATGCCGTGCACTTCTGGATGCCCACGGTGGTCACACGAGGTATTGACTTCAGCGCCACCACACGTCCCCATGTGACACTCAAACTGACTTTCCTCGAGTTGGTGCCAAAGACGGATAAGTCTGCATTCCCAGTGTGCAATTTCGCTATATTTCATTGACTCATAACGCCTACAAGATGTTTCAAAATAAACATACAAATACAGTTGAAATTCCTATATGCGTTTCGTTTTTGGGAGAGTATATTATATTCAAGGTAAATGTAAATAATGTCTAAATCTTCAAGACAGTACAACCTTTTAATAATGAAAGAATAACAGATTGCATTGTTTAATCTTTTAGTCACATGATCATAACGGGTCTGGGTATTGAGACGGGTACACGGGTCCAACTAATTATCCACCCGTCCCGGGTATCCGGGTTACCCGTCCCAGCCCTACTAGAAATCATTACTCAACACAGAAGCTGTCCGAAGGAGAAACACACTGTGTTGATTTCTCACTGGATTGTCTGGTCCAGACTCGATTATTTACAAACCACCGTCATATAGCTGGAATATTGCTGAGTGCGGCGTAAAACTAAACTCACTCACTCACTCACTATGTTGATTTCAAGGAAATGATTTTTAAAAATATTCATTTGTTTACTCCAGGAGTATTGCAAAAAACAATGTCAATAAGAACATAATAGAATCCCTGCACGAACGCATCTTTAAGACGAAACGATTTGATAAATTATTCTAGACCAATATATGCACACAATTAATAAAATGTAAATGCAAGCGCAAGGTTCATAAGCTGTCCTTTTTGTGTATCCAGTTCTTACTATTTTGTTTAGATGATATATGTACCGGTGGGCTTATAATAAAAGCAAAGTATTGCTTGTTTACCAAACCAGATTCTTTGAGAATAAAAATATGTTTAAACCGTATTACAAAAACATATATTATTCTTTTTTTTGACAGTAGAATCTTACACTGAGAAAAATGTTTATTTATCAGATAAACAGGTTATAAATATGAATTCTGATTAGGAACAGTTCAATGAGAAGGAAAGGGGAAAGGAATGAGGATCAAGAGGTATGGTAATTTTTCATGTGACATGGGTTGAATAGGGGGAGAGTACTCTGTATTAGATGACATCTTCCCTGCATATCACGTGCTCTGTTGATAAGTTACTGTCGCTGAACCGTGCAGTGTTTAACACTCACACGTCAGGCGTCAGTGTGTACTCTGGTATTACGCTTTGTTATATACAACCCAGAATCAGAGTCTCGTGGGAACATAAAACCTTTTGAAGTTTAAATCATGTTCCGTCCTGATCTTCTTTCAGTAGCTCTAGCCTCAGATATACATCAATTAACATATCGCGTAATCTCATACTCCCGCATATGACATGAGAAAGAATTATAATGAAACGTAAGAGCATTGCGTGACCCGGCTTAAACCGACTGTCGCCAGAAAATTTGCTCCAGTGAGTAAAGGGAGACAACCCTTGATGGTCTCTTCTCTACTATGTTTTAGAAACGCACCTGAATTGTGTCCTCAAGAAACATCCCGGTGTTGTCATTAACGAGCAGCATTATAATCACCATGGAAAGTGAATAATGTCAACCGTAAATACTGCATGGTTATTTTGTTCAAAGCGTACACGGTATATTTCTACAGATATGTTTAACGATGTTGCTACTGGTGAGGATACGGCCATATACCTGTAATATTGCTGAGACAACAAATTAATAAACAAACCAGTGAAGATGCGAGTTAGAATTGACCTAATTCTTCTCGTAAGAGACAGCTTACAGGATTGATTGGTCAGACTAGCTGATTTGGTTGACACATGTCTATGCATAGATTGATGTCCTGTGTTGATCACGTAATTGTCTGGTACAGTCTCTATCGTAAGGCAGGGAGACTGCTAGTGTTAAACAACAAACAGAAGATCGCCGTCGCGGTTTGTGCATGTTTTGCTTACGTTACAATGCATTATAATATTCATATTCCGATCATTCCAAGAATTAATTGTCCGGATACTCCGACTATCCAGCTGGAAGGTTCCGATACAGATCGTTCTCCATTTTAACTCAAGATTGACGGGTAAGATAAAAAAAGCGCTTCCATTGTGTCATCCCCTTACCAATCTCGTTAGGAATGCACATAACAATGAGCCATTCTGTACAGCCTCCCTATATATTTACTGTAAAACAATCTCAAGGACAACAGGATACCGCATTTCCTGTCTGTCAAAGGAAATTCTACCCTTTGATTAATGCATCTTTTGTAACATGCTACCCTCTGATCGTTGTGTACACATGCCCAGGTCCCAACGTTTCCATGACACTCTTTGTTCCAGTATTAAAGTCTTATCATCTGACATATTACATTCTCTTTTCGCTTAGCCACCCTTAAACGCCACAAAATACTTTGTAGCTACTCTTGCAACTTTTTTAGCCCTTTTGACACCGGGCATTCCCACAATTCAGTGACTAGTTTGTGTCCTTTACACTGAGTTATTCTACAAGGTCAACGGTTGCCTGGGGCAATGGATGTGTCCGCGTCTGTATCTTGTGTAGTACAATCTGCCGCTGTAACAAATGCTTGAATGGGTTATGTGTACTTGTGTGGGTTTGTGTGGGTGACAGTGTTTCCCTTTCATTTCATAAAGAAATCCTTTTAATAGCAGACACCGTATAAAGGAATGTTGTTTTCATTCATTTGTAACCAGCTACTCCGTGTCCCGTTTATCAGTTAAATACTGATTCATCTTTACACAGGTCTGGGTTGGGGATTAACAGGTGAAAACGAAATACTACGATCATGCAGTTATTGGGCTGTGTGTAATAACAATGCACTGGCGATAATAACACCAGTTGCATGCTTATGAAGATATACATTTGTATTTGATGACATGACGAGGAAGACTGACTCAGGGGTTGGAGGAAGACTTGGCCTCTGTTACTGGCAAACGTCTTTCTTTGGATTCCATTAGTTTCTTGAAGGTTTCTTCTTTCGTCAGTGAGTGATCATCCGAACGTGATGATTTGTCAACAAGGGTCTTGTGTTCATTTAGTTTTGTGACTATAGCGTGTCCAGAATTTCATAAGGTCTCATGCACACATCATGTAGGGTTTCTCCAGTAGCCAGATCAGCAAGAGGAGGCTGGGGATGGACTTTAAACGGGAGCTTTCTTATGGGTTTCCTCTGTTTGGAGATTTTCCACTTCCAGATGT